ACCTCAAGGCCAGCCTGGTCTCCATAGTGAATCCAGGACAGCTGGGGCTACAGGGAGACCCTGTCTCAAAAAGATCAAAAAAAAAGATTTTATTTATTTATTTATTTATTTATTTATTTATTTATTGTCTTTTTGAGACAGGATCTCCCTGGATTCACTATGGAGATCAGGCTGGCCTTGAACTTACAGAGATCCACCTGCCTCTGCTTCCCAAGTGCTGGGACTAAAGGCTTGTGCCACCACGCCTGGCTTTATTTTAGTTTTTGTTTGTTTTTGAGATAGGGTCTCCTTAGAGCCCCAACTGGCCTGGAATTCACTATGTAGACTGGGCTGGCCTCTTTCTCACAGAGATCCACTTGCCTCTGACTCCTGAGTGTTGGGATTAAAGTCATGTGCCATCACACCTGATTTTATTTTAGTTTTAATTATGTGTATATGTGGGTATCTGTGTGTGGGTATGTGCGTGTGTGAGTGCAGGTGCCTGTGGAGGCCAAAAGAGGGCACTGGATCTCTCTGAGCCCAAGTTACAGGCAGTTGTGAATAGCCTGACATAGGTGCCAGGAACTGAAGTAAGGTTCTCTGCAAGAGCAGTATATGCTCTTAACCACTGAGCCATCTCTCCAGCCCCTAGCTTCCCTTCTTAATATGTATAACAGCTTTATTGAGCTATAATCCACATACTGTAAAATTCACCCACTTAAAGTATACAGTTCAGCTGGGTGCCTTTAATCCCAGCACTTGGGAGGCAGAGGCAGGTGGATTTCTGTGAGTTCAAGGCTGGCCTGGTCTACATAGTGAGTTCCAGGACAGCTAGGGCTATAGGGAGACCCTGTCTCAAAAAAGCCAAAAAAAAAAAAAAAATTAAAGTGTACAGTTCAGTTAGTTCATTCAGTTAGTTGTATAGCTGTCCTCACTATTTTTAAAATATTTTTTATTTTATGTATATGAGTGTATTGTCTGCCTGTATGTAGGTGAACCTGTGTCATACAATGCCCACAGAGGTCAGAAGAGGGCATCAGATCCCCTGGAACTGGAGTTATGGACAGTTGTTAGCCACCATGTGTGTGCTGGGAATCAAACCTGGGTCTTCTGCAAGTGCTCTTAACTGCTGAGCCCTCTCTCCAGCCCTGTGCCCTCACTATTGATTTTGTATATTGTCTCATAAAGAAATCCTGAGCCAGGCGTGGTGGTACACACCTTTAATCCCACTACTTAGGCAGAGGCAGGCAGATCTCTGTTAGTTTGAGGCTTACCAGGGTTACATAGTAAGACTCTGTCTCTCTCACACACAGAGAAATCCCGTAAATCCTGTATTTATCACCTTCTTATTCCCCTGCCCCTGTCCTCTAATCTGTCTCCTGTCTATAGATTGGTCTTTTCTGGACATTTCATACAAATGGCATCATACAAGATTTGTGGACTTTCGTGACTGGTTTTCAAGTGGCAAAATGATAACCTTGTAACCTTATCTGTGTTGTAGCATGTATTTGGGCCTCATTCCTTATCATGGTTGCCTGACACCCCACTGTATGGACAGCTACATTTTGTTTATTCATTTATCAGTTGGTGGATGTTTGGGTGGGTTTTACTTTTCAGCTGTCTTAAATAATGCTAATATGGTTTGTCCACTTAAAAAAAATGTGGTGTGTGTGTGTGTGTGTGTCCACGTGTCGGGCCTGTGGAGGACATAAGAAGGTATCATATCCCCTGGAACTGGTGTTACAGATAGTTGTGATCTGCGATGTGGGTCCTGGAAACCAAACCCTGGTCCTTGGCAAGAACAGTAAGTGCTCTTAACTGCTGAGCCATCTCTCTAGTCCAGTTCAATTTTAAAACTTATTTACCCAGAGTGTGTGTGTGTGTGTGTGTGTGTGTGTGTGTGTACATTATGTGAGGGTGGGGCACACATGTCACACTACGTGTGTGGAGGTTAGAAGACAATTTTGTGGAGTCAGTTTTCTCTTTCCACATTTATGTGGGTTCTAGGTTAGCCCACTTGTATAAAGAAACTTTGAAGCCAGTTGTGGTGGTATAGGACTTTAGTCCCAGCACTTGGGAGGCAGAAACAGGTGATACTCTGTGAGTTGGAGGCCAGCCTGGTCTACATAGTGAGTTCCAGGCTACAAGGAGACCCTATTTAAAACAAACAAACAAACAAACAAAAATGGGCTGGAGAGATGGCTCAGCAGTTAAGAGCACCAACTGCTCTTGCAGAGGATCCAGGGTCGATTCCCAGAACCCACATGGTGGCTATGAATCATCCTTAACTCCAGTTCCAGGGGAATCTGGAGCCCTCTTCTAACCTCCATGACACAGGTGCACTCACATACATACGGGCAATACACTCATACACATGAAATAAGAATAATAAAAAAAATATTTTTTAAAAAACGTACCATGAACATTTTAAGAAGAATTTTCTATATTTCTAAAGTTATTACCCAGGTGTGGTAGCATACATCTTTAATCTCAAAACTTAGCAGTTTGAGGTAGATGGGATAACCTCAAGTTCAAAACCAGCCTAGGTTATACATTGAGTTCCAGGCCAGCCTGGGCTACAGAGTGGTGAGACCCTGTCTCAACAAACCAAAAAAAAAAAAAAAAAAAAAAACAAACCAAATTACAAATAATATCTGTCATGTAATAAGGTCTCACAAAAAGAGCTGGTGCTATAGCTCAATGGTAGAGCACTTGTCTAGCATGTGAGAGGCCCCAAGTTCTATCTCTTGAGGCACACACACACACACACACACACACACACACACACGGGACACCTAAGTTGTGGGGTGTGTTTTTGTTGTTGATCAATAAGTTTATTGTCTTTATGAAAAAATCTTCCTAGAGAATTGCTTTTGCTCTCAGCAGCCTGTTTCTGAACTCTGGGGATGTTTGCCTTCTTTGGAGCTACCCGATCTTTCTTCTGGAATTGTTCCACCTCTTCTTTTTTTTTTTTTTTTTTTTTGATAGGGTCTCACTGTGTAGCCCTGGCTGGCCTTGAACTTGTTATATAGACAGACTGGCCTCGATCTCACAGAGATCTGCCTGCCTTTGCCTCCCAAGTGCTGGGATTAAAGGTGTGCACCACTACACCTGGCCAAAGTCCTCAATACTAGAAGGAAGCTTCCAAATTTACCTCTGGCCATAGGCCGGTTGGTGGAGATGGGGATGAGAAAATTCCTGTCTCTGTCTTCCCTGCTTCAAGCAAGTGGTGTCAGCCCTCTCTAGCCACCTTATCTCTGTCTCCTGCCAGGTGTCCAGAGTGTGGAGGTGCAGCTGGAGAACCAGATGGTATTGGTACAGACCACTCTGCCCAGCCAGGAGGTGCAGGCACTTCTGGAAAGCACAGGGCGACAGGCTGTACTTAAGGGCATGGGCAGCAGCCAATTACGTGAGTGACCACTATAGCCTTAGCTTTGGCCTTGGCCTCTAGGGTTGGGGGATGGGGGATGGGAGCTATAACTGGTATAAATCTAACCACAGAAGTCTCAGGAGTGGGCTGAATTGGCTTGAGGAAGTTGTAAAAGTTATGTGAGATTCTTTCCCTGCTCTTCCCGAACTGAAGAAAGGGGTGGGCCTGCGGGAGATAGCAAGCCAGCAAATGTCTTATACCTTGCAGAGAATCTGGGAGCAGCAGTGGCTATTCTGGGGAGCCCTGGTTCTGTACAGGGGGTGGTCCGCTTCATACAGCTGACCCCTGAGCGCTGCCTGATTGAGGGAACCATTGACGGCCTGGAGCCTGGGCCGCATGGACTCCATGTCCATCAGTATGGGGACCTCACAAAGGACTGCAGTAGGTAAGTCACCTGTAATGTCCCTGTAGCTTCCACAGCTACACACTTTCACTTTTGGTTCTCACAAATACTCTGGGAGGCACATCAACACAGGCCCACTGTACAGATGAGGAAACTGAAGCTTGAAGAGGTTAAATGACATGTGAAAGACCTCTGAGAATACAAAAAGGTAGTTGGGATGTGAATCAAGATCTGGGATGGACGGTGACTCCTGGACTCAGGGAGGGAAGGAGCCCTGTGTCTAGTGATGTCCTTCTGTGATGTAATTAGTTGTTTAGTCTTCTGTGTTTCCTGGAGTAGAAACTTATGGAAGGTAGAATCCATGTGCTAATCATCTCCATGTCCTCTGCCCAGAGCCTGGAACAGTGTAGGTCTGTTTGTTCAGTGCCTGGAACAAATCTATACACTAGTACTTGGTTGCCCACCTGCTACCTTTCCTCCTTAGCTGTGGGGACCATTTTAATCCTGATGGAGCATCTCATGGGGGCCCTCAGGACTCTGACCGGGTAAGTCTTGGGCTGGGCTTGGGCATATAGAGAATCCAGTGTCTCAGAGGCAGGTGGGCAGTTCCTGGGCCTTGGACTGTGATCAGTTTTTGTTGTTTGGCTTAGGAACATTTATTGATGCTGTTTGTGATTGAGGCCCTGGGGATCCAACACAACTCAACCCAGTGCCTACCCTGAGGAAGCTCCCTGTCTAGTGCCGGAATCCCATGGTTTTACAGGAATGTATTGTTACGTAGGCTTCTGTCAGTCCTTTCCTCTTCCTTCCCTGTCTCTTCCTTTCCCCTCTTCCCACTGCCCTTTCCTTTCTTTCAGTGAAGGGCTTGGAACCTAGGGCTCACACATGCTAGGCAAGCATTCTGCCACTGAGCGGCATCCCCAGCAGCAATGGCGTTAAACTTTTTAACCATAAAATTATTTCCTCGTTCACAGTGAGTTCCCCACCACCTTAGTGATCTTTGTCTTACCTGAGTACAGCTGTAATGGTAATTACTTAATCTTTTGATTTAAGTTGACTCATGTTTTTTCCTTTTAGGTAAATGTAGTTAGTTTTTTTTTTTTTTTTTG